TATAATAAATAAATAAGATAAAAATATAGTAATAATAAAATTTGATAACTAGGGTCAACAATATTAACATAAATATTTTGCTGTTTTTCAATATGTTATCCTTTGAAAGTTATCAATTTTGATATTTTCATGTGTAAAATTTTGTGAATATTATTGTTTTCATAGTAAATTTATAACCTTTGAAGATTATCAATTTTGATATTTTCATGTGTGAAATTTACAAATATTATTGTTTTCGTAATAAATTTGTATCAATAACCTTTGAAAGTTATCAATTTTGATATTTTCATGTGTGAAATTTACAAATATTATTGTTTTCGTAATAAATTTGCATCAATAACCTTTGAAAGTTATCGATTTTAATATCTTCATATATGAAATTTTGCAAATATTATTATTTTTGTAGTAATTTCATATCAATAACTTTCGTTTATGTTAGATATTCATAATATATTATTTTGATGGTCATCACTTGCATTTATATTACTACAATTTTCAATTAACATTACACTGTCAATGATATTCTTTGAAGTTTATCACAACAATTTTAATTGACATTGTATTGTTAACAATGTCTTTTGAAGTTTATCTCAACAATTTTAATCAATATTACACTGTCAACGATATCTTTCAAAGTTTATCACAGCAATTTTAATTAATATTGTACTGTCAATAATATCCTTCAAAGTTTATCATAGTGAAATTGTATTGTTAACAATATCTTTCAAAATTTATAACAACTATTAAAGTTAATATTTATTTTTACTGAATTTAATTATATTATTATTATAATTTTATTAGATATTATATTGATCCAAAGTTTATTAGTATTAATACATTCCCAAAATCTTTGATAATTTAATATATTATAGTTAAAGATTTTCAGAATAACTAGACAATTAACAAATATCTTTCGAAGTTTATATCATTTATACGTGTTGCCCAAATCCCAAATCATTTGGGATTTGGGATGCCAAAATCTCAAATTACTAGTATTTGGGATTTGGGATTTGGGATTTCGGCAAAAAATACTAATCATAATTTGGGATTTGGGATTTGGAATTTTGGCATTTGGGATTTCGGCATTTGGATTTTGAATTTGGGTGGCAGGTATAATACATATAGTAAAGATTTCTTATTTAATAGATCCTCAAAAATATATTGAAATTGTCATTTACCAGTTATATAATAGTATAGAGAATACCATTCAAACTTCTTTGCAATTAATGAATATAGATATTTCTATTAGTAAAGTTCATTTTCACATAATCAGAGATATACATTCAAATTATTTATTTGTTCAGATTTTATAATACAATTTCCATAACTCTTCTGGACATAAATCTAAACTTGAGATATTTCAGAATTTAATTACATCAAGAAATTTTAAGAGGTAAAAATTTCCAGAAAGTTTTCACTTTGAAAATTTTTGAAAAACTTGTAAGAATTTTTGGTCAAATAAAAAGTTTTTTTATTATACAATACAAAATGTTTTGTTTATTTACTACTAAATGATTATACTAAATGATTTTGTTTTGAACTCTTTCAAAAATTATTATTCATAAAAGTTTAAGACAAAAATTTCTGAAAATTTTCAAAAACTTATTTATTTCTCAAGTAAGTATGTTGGTTTTTGATAAGGTTGAACATTATTATTATTTATAAATCTTCATTTGATATTGTGTTTTATGATTATCCAAGACTTTAACAAAACTTTTTGAGTTCCTTTTGTTATTCAAATTGATGGATTAAAATAAAGTTTCTATAAAAAAAGTTCTCAACATTCTCTTTCTTAATTAGCACAACTTTTATACTACAATACTTTATTTTTTTCATAGTTTTTTTCTATGTAACAGGTAGTAGTTTAGTAAGTTATATTTATAACTTTACTGTTTTTTACCTTTTCCATAGTTTTTTGGAATTTTAGGTAGTTGTTCAGCAGATTACATTGTTGACTATGATCTGACCTTCAAGAAATACGATTAACTATCAGCTAAAGATATGGTAACTAAACTAAAATATAATATACTACTAACTAATTTATACTAAAAATATATGATATTTGAAGGATTTAGATATAGCAGATTTGTTCAAAAGAGGCAAGACTATGAGATTTTTATAAGGGTTTAACTAAACTATTCACAAAGAATATACTAGACTAAACTAAACTAATAATTTCTAACACTAAGTAGAGAATTATAATACAAAAACAATATATCAAGATCACAAAGCAAGGTATAATTCAACAAGGGTTTCAGTATTTCACCTAGGAATAATATAGAATTTCACTAAGAAATTACAACAATATAAATAATAATCCACACGAGTATTATTTATAAGGCAAATTACAAAGTATTTTTTTAACAAGAATTGAATTGGAACTGGAACTCAATTGAACTAGAACTTAACTTGAATGGAACTGAAAACTGAGCAAAGAGAAATTCAGCCCTTTATATATATAATTGAAGTTATAATAGATTACACTGTAGACTAAACTAATACATACACTATTAATTACGCTAATGTATACACTATTAATTACACTTTCTACTACACTATCTATTACACTATTCATTACACTATTGAATACACTATTGATTACACTGTACAATACACTGTTAATTATACTCAGATCTACAGTCGTAATATACCAATTTCTAAATGATTTACACTAAAAGTTTCCTATATAATATATACTAATAAAAATATGAAATTAAACTAATAAAATATAATTATAGATAAGTTAATACATGATAATAAAATAATAATATAATAAATGAATAAGATAAAAATATAGTAATAATAAAATTTGATAACTAGGATCAATAACATAACTTTGCTATCTAGAAGTACATCAGAAAATTTTGATAGGTGAAAAATTATATAAATTTTTACTTCACAAATTTTTGCAAATTTCTGATATCTTCAGAGGTTTGCACAAAAAAATTTTATAAAATTTCATAATATTTTACAATATTTTGCAAAAATTTCCATAATGTTTTTACTAAATTTATAAAATTTGCATTTATATATAGACAATTTTTTATATTTTATAATTTAATAATAATTATTATTTTATTGTGGTATTTCAAATATTACTATTATTTTATTTATATTAATTTTAATATTTATCTCATTTTTATTAATATTTATTATTTCATTATGATATTTATCACCTTTGTCAGCTTCATCAGCTTCATCACTTTTGTCAGCTTTGTTAACTTTATCACCTTCATCAGTTTTATCATCATTACTATCATTTTCTTATTTTTTTTAATAGATCTTATTTTTTATTTTTTATTTGCGAGATTTCAGTTTCAGTAATTCTTTTATTTTTTCTGGAAGCTACTGGTCTTTCAGGAACTTTTGATTTTTTTGGGAGTTGCTAGCCTTTTGAAAATTTCTTCTAGCCTTTCAGAAGAGTCAGATTCATATTCAAAAATTTCATTATTTTCAATTTTATTTTATTTTTTTAAAGTTTCATTAGTTTTCAAAATTTAAAAATCTAGTATAATATAGTATTTACTTATTAGATTTTTTAAAAGAACTGGTTTTATTATTTCCTCAGTTATTTTGATATGATATTTTTCATTATTTGAGTTAAGGACAATTTCTGCAATAGAAATCACCCAGGTGATTTTAAATTTGAAATTTTTTTTCTTAAGCCAGATGTTTTTAATTATTCGAGTCATATAATTTCTAGCAGAATTATAAAAATTTATAAAAAAATTATAGTGTTGATCCTAGTTATCAAATTTTATTATTACTATATTTTTATCTTATTTATTTATTATCTTACTATTTTATTATTATGTATTAGTTTATTTATAATTATATTTTATTAGTTTAATTTCATATTTTCATTAGTATATATTATATAGGAAACTATTAGTGTAAATCATTTAGAAATTAGTACAACTATTAAGTATTATGACTGTAGATTTGAGTGTAATCAACAGTGTAATGTACAGTGTAATCAATAGTATAATAAATAGTGTAATAAATAGTGTAATAGATAGTGTAGTAGAAAGCATAGTTAATAGTATATACATTAGCATAATTAATAGTGTATATATTAGTGTAGTCTACAGCATAATCTATTATAACTTTAATTATGTATATAAAAGGCTAAATTTCTCTCTACTCAGTCCTCAGTTCCATTCAAGTTAAGTTCTAGTTCAATTGAGTTCCAGTTCCAATTCAATTCTAGTTAATAAAAAAATACTTTGTAATTTGCCTTATAAATAATACTCATGTGAATTATTATTTATACTGTTGTAATTTCTTAGTGAAATTCTGTATTATTCCTTGATAAAATACTGAAACCCTTGTTGAATTATATCTTACTTTGTAATCTTGGTATACAGTTTTTGTGTTATAATTCTCAACTTAGTGTTAAGAATTATTAGTTTAGTTTAGTTTAGTTATATTCTTTATAAATAGTTTTGTTAAACCTTTATAAAAAAATCCCATAGCCTTGCTTCTTTTGAACAAATCTGCAACATCTAAATCCTTCAAACATCATACTTTTTAATGTAAATTAGTTAGTAGTTTATTATATTTTAGTTTAGCTACAGTATCTTTAACTAATAGTTAATCATATCCCTTGAAGGTCAAATCATGGTTAACAATAGTATAAATTTTAATGGACATTTGAATTTAAATATAAATTTCTCCGTGAATATCAATACTATAGTAATTAAACATATATCATCTTGTAGCTAAAAACTAGGAAATTCGATCTATTTTAGAAATATCTTAGTAGAAAATCACTCTCTGTCATCTAAATTTTGGTCAAAGTTAAAAAATTAAATTTTTCAGATGTAAATTTCTGGAGATCATGTGATATTTCTATAAATTTATACCTAATTAAATTTTCTGATGAAGTAATATATAAAGAATTGAAATTCTTCTTATTTTTATTTTAAAATATTTCAAAAATCAAAATATTTTCAAATATCAAAAATAATAAAATTCTTAAAATAATTCTTAGAATAAAAATGTCTCAATCAAATAATCATTTTTATCAAAAAAAACAAAAGAGAAATAGTGAATTACTTTTTGAAATAATTTCTGGATATTCAAAATATGTAAAAACAACAAAAAATTTTTCAGAAATATTTGCTAATTTTGAAGAAAATTCAAAATCGATATCAAAGTTTGAAATAAATAAACAAAGGATAAAATTACAAAAGTTCGAAGAACTTGAACTAGTAATAGTAATTGAATTGCCAGCAGTAACAGTGTCAAGATTTGAAATAATTGAACCAGCAGCAATACCATTAGTAGCAATATTATCAGTAATAGTAACAGTAACAGAAACAATAATATCAAAGCCTACAAGTAAAAGAAGAAGAATCAAAGCAAGAAGTATGGGATAGCATTCTGATAGTAATATTTGAAAAATGTCAAATAAAATATTTTAAAACAAATTCTTATTATTTTATTTATTTAAGATGACACTCTGATTACTCATAAATAAGCATTTCATATTATAAAATATTTAGATAAAATTAACAATAGACAAATAAAAATAGAAAAAGATGTTTTGAACAGCCAAAGAATGCTGGAAGAAAGTAAAATGTAAGTGGAATGTGACAAAATCTATGATGAGAGTTTTATAAAAATAAATATTTTATCTATTATTTTTTCGTAATATTGATAATTTTTTACTAAATTGAAATATTTCAAAAAAAGAAATTTGTTGAGAAAATTGTAAAAAAAATCAATTAAAGAGAAGATTTATCTCAACTTTACAATATTAAAAGCTGTAACTGTTTTATTACTGTGATAAAAATTATCCGGAGATTTATTATGATTCAAAAATTCAAACAAAAGTATTTTTTTTTTAATATTTGAAAAAAAAGTTTTAAAATTTCCTTAAAAATTTTTGAAAATATTTTAGTTATTAAAAAGTCATTGGATTAAAGAGGTTTACTATCTTTATATCAAGACCACAATATTTTGAATTTACTGAGAAAAAAATCTTCCATTCATAAATTTGAAGATTGCACTTAATGAAATAAAAAAATAGAAGGAATTATCTATAGTTAAAGAATGTTATGATTTATTACATTCAAAAATTAATAACAATGATGATACAATCTGGTGTGAAAGAATTCTTAATAGATTTTGGGTGGATTTTTCTAAAGCTCCTTCAGAACAAATCGCTTTTGCCATTTCTTTATATGAATTTTTTTTGAATCCTAAAAATGAGAATATTAAAAATAATAATAGATATTTGCAAATTATGACAAAAAAAAATGTAAGTAGAAAATAGTCTATTTTTTCTTAAAAATTGAAAATTTAATATCTTTTATTTTATAGGAAAATATATAAAACAGTAAAATATTTAGTTTAGAAACTTTTGACTCCAATGATGAAATAGAAGAGAAGGAAAGCAAATTGCTATCAGAACGGAAGGAGGAGGAAGAATAATAATTGAATATTTTCAAAATAATTTTTATATATACACCAACCTGCCAAAAGTATCCGGGCAACAATTTTTTTGTCAAATTTTTAAAAAATTTTAAGGATGAATTAT